CTCTGCAAGACACTGACATGTCCATTTGTATCTCCTGGTAGTCTCTAATGGCATGACAAAATGTAGCCTAGACTTTACTACTGCTCATCTGCTTTCACTCCTATCCCTCCACAATCCATTCTTTGCATAGTGATCAAAACAGTCTTTCCAAAATGCAAATCTGATCATTCCGTCCCATGAGTAAAATCTTTAATGATTTCCCATTTTTCCCAGGATCAAGTTCAGAACCTGAGCTTAGACCTAACAGGCTGCTGCTTGCACGGGCTGCCCCCTCACCATCTTAATCAGGCTCATGCTCATTCTTCAACTTTGAGCTCACAAGTCATTTTCTCAGGAAGACCTCTGACCATCATATCCTGCACTCTGCTCTCCTAACTCCCGGACTACCTCCTCTCAGTACTAACTGCAAGGCTAACTGTCTAGGTATTCAGATAGGATTTTCTTAATTTGTCTAATGTATCTCCTCCACCAGGCAATAAATCCAGAATCACATTAACTAACCTAGCATGGAGCTTTCTGGTACATAAGTCATGCTCATTAAATGTCTGCCCAGTGAGACTTAGGGCCATACATTTTTGCCTTTTCCATTATAAAACATACTGTTCTCCAATATTAAAGACTTTTCATTGTTTTTTTGTTGTTGTTGTCATTTGTTTTTTTTCTGTTTGACAGGGAGTATTAATAGTTTAGTGGACAAGTTAGCTTCATGTTTAAAAATCATTGCTGTGAGCCAGAATTTTCTGCATTTGAAATCTTACTACTAGTTGTGTAATATTGAGGAAGTAGTATAACTTCTCCATGACTCAGTTTCCTCATCTATAAAGAGGGTGGAGGCATGGCGGACAATAATAGCACCTACTTTGTGGGGCTATTTGGTAAGTAAATCATGATGTATGAAGTGCTTAGAACAGAACCTGGCACATGGTCAGTACATGCAATACTTTAGCAATTCTTCCTATTTACTCCTAGTATTGTACAAAATAAGTTATTATCCCCACTTGTCAAACGAAGAAACTGGATGCCTAAAAATTACTTTCTTTAATAGCTTCATCTGTTCATGCAATAAAAAGAAAGAAAGAGAAGAAAGAAGAAAGAAAAAGAAAAACACCTTCAGAGGAATAAAGAATGTTCTCACGCTCTTGAGAGTTGGGACTTGGAGAATATGGGGGCTTGGCAAGATAAAGACAATAAATCAAAGAAACAGAGGAAGTTTCAAGCAGTTTCAGACTGCGGACTTGGCCATCCCTCCTTCATGTTAATATAACGAAACTTAGCGTGTCCATGAGAAGCCCTAAGTGGGAGGACAGACGCACTTCCCACTGAACTGCAGGGAGATGGGAGCAAAGGAACCAAACGTGACTTGGAGCAGCAGGAACTCGCATCTCCAGGTTGCTGCAAGAAGTAGGAGCAGGGGCTCCCAACCTTTTCTGAAACGCCTCAGGAACTCTGCCAGTACTTCCAAGGGCATTGCCATGTCCCTCATCCTAATTAATTTAAGTTTAAAAACAAAAACAAAAACCTATGCCATGTATCCCATGTGAGAGGATGTGGATGTCAAAGGAAATTAAACAAAAAGGTTGTGAATCACTGCAGTGGACAATCTTCCTGAAGAGAGGAGTCCTGCATCAGACTTTTAAGAAGACATCTGGCAGGGATGGGAATATTCTTAGCAGCCTATTCATAATGGCCCCAAACAAGAAACAACCTGACTATCTATCTTTAATAGAGCAGACATACAAGGGGTCTTTAAACGTCATGGAAAATGCATAATATGAAAAACCTACGCAGGGATTTCAAAAATTTTTTGCACCAAAGAAAACTTATACTTCGATTCCACTTTTCCATGAACTTTCTTGAAGTCCTCATATATAAACTGTGGTTTAGTCACAGAATGAAATACTATCTAGCAATGAGAACAAATGAACCACATCTGTATTCAACAGTAGGAATGAACCTTGCAAATATAATATTGACACAAAGAAACCCTAAATTTAAAAATAAAAGCGATGCTCATTTCATGTAAGTCCAAAACCAGGCAACACTCCTCTGGGCCAGGATGTCCAAGTGAAGGCAGGGGCGGGATCGGGGAGCAAGGAGTCTTCTGTCCTGTTTCTGGAACTGGGTGCTGGCCACTCACATGTGTTCATGTTGTGAAGTCAACTGACCTATGTGCTTACATGTGTGCAATGAGCATGTGTCTCATTTCAGTCCTCCCTTCATTCCCTCCCACCTCAATGATCTGGGGTCAAGTTAGCCCCGGGGTAAGCAGATGGCTCTAGCCTACTGGATCATTAGAAGCTGGGGATGATCAAATGAGGCTGCTTCAGAGGCCAGAAGCCATGTGAGTAGGGCTCATTTTTCTGTGGTACTTGTTCTAAGTGGTGGGTCACTACTTAGGCCTCTCGTTGGTTTTTCTCCTCGTCCTTTATTCAGTCCTGGGGGCTTGCAGCCCATTCTCTCTATTCCAGTGGTCTCTGTAATATGGCATGCAGTTTGGGGATTTCCCGAGAGGTGAGACCATATCCCTCTCTATCCACGTGTCTCCTCACACAGCTCCAGCATGCACATTCATTCCCTTTGCTCAGTCAGGATGCAGGTAAGCCAGGAGCTAGCTGAAGCAATAGTAGCCTGATTTGAAATCTCTCCTGCAAACTCTAATAGCAGGGACTTGGGAGTTTCAGCCTGTGACACCCAGTGGGTGATGTGAAAAGTGTTCCATCGTGACTTTTCTTATGATTGGCAGCACAGGAAAAGGGGGCAAGTCTCTTCTGTGAACCTGGCAGGCAGGATTACAGCAAGTATCTGGAGAACAGCTTGGCACAGGCAGAGCTGAGAATCCCCTAACTGGCTCCGTGGGAGGCGTCAGATCCGGACAGCTCGCTGTCCCACGAAACCAATGCTGTCCCACGAAACCAAAGCTGCCCAGACTGGCGAGGGACATGTCTCTGACCAGGCTGTTGCTGGGCGGGTCAGCTGGTTGGAGAAAACAACAGGGCCTCAACGTGACAGTCCCCACATTCTGCAGACTTGAAAGGGAAATCCTTTGGATTCTGACTGGACTCCTGGGGCTCAGCCCTGGCCTTGCCCTGAGGCTGCAAAGAGGAATCAAAATATGGAAAGGGCTGTGCTTTGCTCTGATTGGTTCTGCAGGTGATCAGAGCTGGTTTTGTTCCTTCAAGGATTCTGCAGCCTGAGCTGCTTTGTTCCTTCACTTCCCCTGACTTCCTCCTCTGACTGCTGCCACAGAAGCTGGTCCCCCTTGTCCTGCCCCTCACAGGCCCTCACCTCATCCCTTGTCTTCCCCTTTCCTATTGTGACTGTCAGCTGCGGGCTTTCTTAGCTTCACAGTCACCAAGGGGTTTGTCTGGACACCACCATCCCTCTGCAAGACTCGAGTCCTGCTCCTTCCCCTCACTCTCCTGCTCTTCCCTCTCTTAGATTTCCATTGTCATATTCTGTCACAGAGAAAGCCAGCAGAGGACCAAGAGACTAGGGCTGGAATCAGGACCCAGTGGACATTTAGGTTGCTGCCCCTGCTGTGTGTGACTCTGAGCAAAGCACTGAGGCTGTGTCTGGTTGTTGGTGTTGTCATCTGTGAATGGGGCAGGTCACTCATGCCAGAAATCCATGGGTTGTGCCCATATTGGCGTCATGGGGCATGCAGAGTAAGACTCTGCCCTGGCTCTTGCAAACTTACCAGATAACAATGTCTTTATGTTTTCTCTGACACATACACACATTTCTAGAGATAAATGGATAGACAGATAATAGATAGAAGGAAAACCCTTATAATAAAAATTTATCTCATCAACCATGGTGCTCAATGAAAATTTTATGTAGATTCTGAGTCAGAACCTTTCTTTCTCTGACCTCTTTTTAATTGTTCCTTGCAATCAGGTGTAATTTTCCACCCCATTTTTTCACGATTGAGTGAAACAAGGAAGTAGCTCAAGGCTGGTTTTTGTTTTGCAGCCACAAAGGTCCCCATAAGTGCTGGTTCCCATTGGTGGTGAAATGGTCTTAATCAGATGAATGAAGGGCACAGGAACACGACACATCAGAGACTTCTAAGTCGAGTTGCCTAAGTGCAGCTAACCCTAAGCAGAGCTCATGCCAGCTCCCCGGACTCGCACAGGACCTTGTTGGTAAAGGATAATCCCTTCATTTTCTCTGCCTCTCTTTTTCTAAAAATCGTGGCTGACTTATCCAGGACCTATGCTGTTTCACAGTAGTTTAAAAACAAATTAGAAATCTCTTTTCAGTTTTCCTGGAGGTGACTAGTTGCTTGAGGCCTGGGAATGCAGGGGACCGGACAGTATAAACAGTAGCTCTGAGAGCTGTGTCTGGCAGCACCGTGCACGTCAGTGCTTTTCCTTTTTCGTCCATCAGCAAAGATGGAAGCTGGATTTGGCCCATTGCATAAAGCTCAGTGACCAGTGCATAAATCTGCTATTCGATCCTGGAAGAACTCTCAGGATCTAGAGTCAGCTGAGGAATTGCAGCAATGCTGGTGTTTCAAGGGCCTAGGGAAAGCCAGACGTCCTGGCCACGACGCCCTGTCTTCCAGGTTGCAGGTTTGCCTCGGTTAGCACAGCAGACCACACGTTCCCGTGCTCAGAGTCGACACGACATGATTTGTTCCCTTTTGGCTGTGTCGGTTCTGCAAACCAGATACCAGAGGCTGCAGGCGCGGGAGAGCCTGCCTTTCTGGAACACCATTTGTTTGGACAGGACAGGCCACTAAGGCGTTTTCATCTCTTTAAAGCTCCCAGGGCAGAGAGCATATTTGAGGAATTCCTTTTTTCAAAGATTTTTTTTTTTTTTTTTTTGCCCCTTCCAACATTTTGTTTAAGAGAAAATGAGATGTCTATCTTCTGTTTCCTTATTTTTTTTCAGGAAAGCAAAGGGTTGTTGACTTCCTCCCTCTCCCCTCCCTTCCTTCCTTCTTCCCGAAGGTACTCATCTGAGAAAAAGAGAACGAAGTATTGTTCCTGTTCTCTTTCTTAAGTCATTTGAAACACTGTCCCTGTGAGTTCTTTAAGTTCCCTGCAATCTGTACACAAGAGAAAGAGGGAGAGAGAGAGAGGGGGAGAGAGACAGAAAGAGCAAAGGATCAGGTAAAGCAGTGAGGCTGCTGCAGCCATTCAGACCTCAGGAGCTGGTAAGTCATCCATGCAACCATTTCTACTTCCATTTCAGTGTCCCTGGGATGGATGCTGCTGTGGGCATCTTCAGCAGAAGCGACCTTACTGGGTGTAGTCCTTAATCAAAGGACTGATGGATGGTCCAGAATTTGATCTTCTACTTTTATTTATTTTTTTCTTTTAAGAGAATACTGATGCTTTGCAGAGCTCAGGCTGACAGAACTGGAATTAGAATTGCATTGGGGCTAAGGAGGACAGTGCGTGAAATCTGAGTGTTGGCACAGATAAGGTGGCTGGGTTTACCACGAGCCATTGGCATGTGTGATATGTCCCAGTGGAGAATTCACTCGTTTAGCACTGTGTCCTGGAGCCTTATCAGGGTGTCTTAAGAGTTGTAGTTTGCTCTGGAGTTTTTGTTACATGTTGTCTAGGTTGAGGTGCCTTCTCTTATTCTTTTCTTTCCACTCAACTCCCCCCAGATGAGAACTATTCATCTGTGACTGCTAATTCTATATCACTGAAGAAGGAGGGTAAAAATACGAACAGAATGTCACTTTGAAATAGTACTGCGTGTAGGGGGCTTATGTGTTCAGAGTCCACGTGTGGGCTGAATGTAAATTTGTTATTTACTGCCAATGGATGATGTCATTTACTGCTTGAAAGAAGGCAAAGATTTGGGGGCATGTAGCTTTAGTTTTGGAAACAAGATGCGACTAGAATGGGAGGATTACAATTGATCACTTGTGTCAGTAGGAGTGCAGAACTAAACTATTGATGCAATTGAAAAAGCACTTACCTAGCATGTGGATTTCCAACAACAAAGAAAAATAGAACCTAGCAAGCTAGTCAAGCATATTCACACAATTCGTTTTTAAGTCTAGCTTGCTTCAATTAGATTTGTCAGAAAGGATAATGTTACCAAGATTTCATCATGACAAGCCATGAAGGAGGCAAGATTATGGTGTCAAAAATAGGTCAGCACTGTCCTCCAAAAGACTGTATCTATTTACTAATATTAATAATTTAATTCAGAGATGTGCTGAATGGGTGGAAGGCAATAGCCCTGCATACTTTTTAAAATATTAATTTTAATGAAATTTACTGTGATTAAAGTCACCGGGAATGTGAAGAATATGATAAAAATAACCGGCTCTCATTTTAAAATTACTTTGACCAGACTCTGTTTTAACCACAACCAAGTAATTAATCTTTATTTAAAACTGAGCCAAGATCTTAAGAAGGATGAGAAATTATGATAGAACTGGACTGTTATGTAGGTTTTGTTCCATTAGTCAGAACTCTTTTTCTTCTCCTTTCCCCACCCCCCACCCCAAGATTCTTTCCTTTAGGAGCACCAGAAAATGAGCAATGTGAAAGAGACACGTTCTGGCTTATGGATGCAAATTTAGTTTAATACAGTTGAGAGTGGCTTCCAGCTCACTAGCCATGACCCTCGCCACCCCATCACAGGTTGTCGGGTTTGAAGGTAGCCAGCACTAATTGTCTTGGGTATTTTGCATCATTTATCAGCAATTGAGACAACAGAAGAAAACTCAGGGCTGCGCTCTTGACTTGCTTCTTTCGGTTTCATTTCTCCTCGATAAAATATTTAATTTTGTGCCCAACTAAAATAGCAGCATGGGACACACTCTAGTTTGGGTTATTAAATGAAAGGTGTGACACATTATAAAGCAAAATGGATGCAAATTTAGTTTAATACAATTGAGAGTGGCTTCCAGCTCACTAGCCATGACCCTCGCCACCCCATCACAGGTTGTCGGGTTTGAAGGTAGCCAGCACTAGTTGTCTTGGGTATTTTGCATCATTTATCAGCAATTGAGACAACAGAAGAAAACTCAGGGCTGCGCTCTTGACTTGCTTCTTTCGGTTTCATTTCTCCTCGATAAAATATTTAATTTTGTGCCCAACTAAAATAGCAGCATGGGACACACTCTAGTTTGGGTTATTAAATGAAAGGTGTGACACATTATAAAGCAAAGAACAGCAGAGTCACCCTGACTACAGGCAAGTAAGGCAAAGAGCGGGTTGGACAATGGCTCAGAAAACAGACCCACTTCCAGCAGGCGTCTTCACTGTGGTTGGGAAGGGCTGAGGACATGCTATTTTGTTTAAAATATACATATACTCAATATTTCCATTTAAATCGTTAAGTCATTGCTGTGAGAATATCTGTCGGATACTGGAGGGAGGGAGTTACCTGAAGGAAAAGGCCATTCCAGAGTTGAATCTAAGTCACCGCTGCACTATCTTTACTCAAGTCCCCGGAATGAGTTGGCATTTGTGGAAACTTCCAGTGTGTGAGTCTTCTTCAGGGTCATCAGAGGCTCTTCTGTTGTATCAGTAGGGGAATTCCAGTTTGGAATGATCCAGAGCTTGACACATATGAGAGCTCATTAGCTAATTTATGCCAAAATTTTACACAGAACTCAATTACAAATTTGTCATAGAGATTTTAAGCTGTGTTGGGATATGTGTCCAGCAGGTCTGTGTGCTGGGCTGGGAGTCAAATTACAGTGCGAGAATACCAAAAACACAGGTTCTGTTGCTGTACATATTTGGGCTTGAATTCCAACTTGGCCACTTACTGATTGTGGGCCTTAGGCCAGGTACTTATCCTTGCTAAGTCTCAGTGCCCCGCAACGTGAAACTGCATCACCATAACGGAGTCGTTATGAGGATTAAATAAAATTATTGATATAAAGCAGTTAACGTAACGCTTGGCAACTAGTGGGGTCAATAATGTCGGTTGTAACTTTTTAAGAGTCGTATATTAATACTTGGGAGTACTGTATTTTCTTGTATATAAAGAATAGAATAAGTTGCCTATAATTTGTGTCGTTATTCCTGTTCAATGCTATACCAAGAATCGATGAGAACAAAATGTATTCCTTATAGCTCTAGAATTGGCACACGTTGAGTGAAACTAGTCTGAATCCCCAATTCATGTAAAATAGCACTTTAGCCTTGTTGAATGCCAGCTGTAGTCAATACAGCTCAGTGCAGGGGAAAGGTCGCCTTGGGGTAAAGGTTTTCAACTTGGACAAATGTGCGAAGAGACTTTAATTATGCTGGAGACACTTCATTCTCCCTTTCACCCACTTCCCCAAGCTCTTAAATGCTGTCTTGTTGGTGACCTTTTCCCTGGCGAGGGAGGGTTATAGATATTTTTTTGGCGATCATCATGGCTGTTCCATGACTCAGTCAGAGAGAAAAGGACTTAAAATGATACTTTCTACCCCAACTCAGGGCAGCGCACACTCAGAGTTCCCTCTACTCAAATGTTCTGGCAGTGAGCCACTCACCTTCACGATGATAAATGCATATCACCGTGTGTGTGTGTGTCTGTGTGTGTGTGTGTGTGTGTGTGTGTGCATGCATGTGTATTTGTATGTGTATGCGTGGTGAGTGATTGATACAACTGCTATTTTTCTCTTATTCTGAACTTTAAAACCTATGTGCCCTTTAATTTGTGAAATAATAATGATATTTTTGCTTAGGTGTTAGTTAAACATTTTACTTTCCAAAAGTAAAACACCCAACAGCAAAAGCAACCAAAAATCTACCACCAGCAACCAAAAACTTTGAGATCCTTTTGTAGGAATAAGACGCTCTGATACAACAGAGACTTGTTTAGCCACTTAACCTTGAAAACAAATTGAGTTGTTTTGTACAAATGTGCAAGAGGGGCCTTCTAATGTGGCTTGGTGTGTTAGGAAAAAACCAGATAGGTGGCTATAACACCTTTCTCCTGATCCAGTCTTTACCACTCTCTACATGTGTGACTTGACAGTTTTCTTTACATTTCTAGGCCTCAGTTTTTTTGTTTGTGAAATGATGGGAATAGACTAAATCAGTGATTTTCAAGGAGGTCTGTGTATGTGAGTATGAATCCAGAATTCACCTAAGGGGCTTGTTTACACTCCCCTCCTGCCCTGCCCACTGCACTGGATGATATATGAGATTCTGTCACTGACATCCTGTGATTCTCTAAAACGGATAGTTGGCGTCTTGCTCCATCTTCATCAGGATGGCATTGACATTAACAATAAATGCATGTTCTGAGAGTCATGCTTTTCAAAAGAATTCCTACCCACATTGGGTGTTCTCTCTGGAAGTTGGTTTTGAAAACATTGATTGCTATCCTAAAAGCTATTGGTATTATAGGATAAAAAAATGTTCTCACTAGTCAAGCAGCCTGGTACTTGCTAATATTCTATAGTCATACATTAACCATAAAAAGTTGATTACTTAGATCTATAGATACTGTGATTCTGCATGACTATCATTTTTTATTTATATATTTCTATGCTATTTGCCTTGTATAGTGAGCATGTATTCCTACTTTAATCAGTAAAAATACTGATATTAATGCACAAATTAATGGGCATGTAGGTTTTAAGTTTACTTTAAAAGAATATTAGTAGGTTTGATCTCGTAAGGTATTTTGTTTTATTTCGTTTTGACCTTTTTACAATGGCTAGTGTGCTGAGCTTATTTTAAAAGTTAGATTCTTGGTGGCTCAGTGGTAACGCAACTGGCTGCATATGGGAAGGTCATTGATTCCCATCCTTAGACCTCCCTGCACATGCTGTGATCCAGGCTGGCTGAGGGTGGGAGAGGACTGTGGCACAAAGATTCTATTGGGGATGCCTGCCTCTCTATCTTTCTCTGTGTATCTCTACCTCATGAAAGAAATGAATAGATAAAACACTTTTTAAAAAGTTCTATCTTTATCCCTAAGTTAATCGTGACACAAGAAGATTGATAATGGTGTTTGAAAAACCAGCACTCGTTAGTTGTGTTAAATCTATTTTAATTATAAGGAAAATATGTAGCTTGTAGAAAAGTTGTTCTGATTTTCCCAGTTTAGTTTCTAACTAAATCACCTGATGTTTTTTCTTTTATGCTTATATGCCAAATGAAATAAAGCAGCAACGGACACCGGTCTCCATCAGATAGGAACATGGCGACAACAAATATTTTTGATGAGCAACAG